TGGCGCTCACCATGGGGCCCTTCGAGCTTAGATTTGTATAAAAACCAGCTAAAACACCCTTAGAAATAACACTCTAGGTTGTTTCTAGCAACATTGAAACAAGAGATAAAAAACACAGGCTGGAAAGGATATCCCGAGGGATGTCTGGCCTAGCGGCGCATTATGCATCGCTTGGAGTAGTATAGCTTAGCGACGCACAATGCATCGCAGGGGTATTTCCTGTCTCAGATTCCCCAAATCTCTAAACAAGGTGACGCTTGTGTTTGGTTTTCTTGATTCAGATGGTTTGAGTCATTTTTTAGTTCTATTTTATCTACTTTTGTTTAGCTTTTTCATTGTTGATCATATTTGCTCTACTCTTGTTGAGTATCCAGTGTCAGGGGCAACTTGAATTTTCTGATCCTAGGCTACCCTTGACGTGTGCGTCTTTGATCTCTATTTTTTAAAAACCGTTAATTAGGAGGTTCGAAATAGCCCTGCAGAGGTGCTTTCTACTCAAGTAGGAGACCTAGAAGTCACCCAGAACCCTAAGTACAGGGCCCTCCCAAGGACGTGTAGTGGGCTTTGTGTCATCTGGATCTGTGGAAGGCTCTTTTTATTTTCCAATTTTCCTTTCAGATTATTGAAAATTAAAAAATAAATAACATTTAAAAAAATTCCTTGCTTTTTAGTTGTTATCTATGATTTCCTGCTATATTGTATTTCTAAGGAATTTAAAAACAAAAATTTGAAAAAGACGAGAAATGAAAATTTTAGGATATATATCTCTTGCTTTTTTCTTTTTTCTTTTTTTTTTTGTCATAATTATCTCTACGCTACGCTTGCCATACCTATTGGTATGTTTTTGTTTGTTCTTGCAAATTTTTTATTAAATAGAATATGTGCTGCCTAAATCCTGACTGTGCTTGTCACTTTGCACCCACTCACCAAGAGTGTTGTTTACATGCCTTCTGCACACAACACTGAAACCGTTTCAAATTTTTTGTAAACCCCCAAACCAAGGCATTAAAAGTCGTGAGGGGCACCTAGCTCGTTAGAGTCATGACAGTTGGGGACTGCACAACCTTAAGGTGCGCATCCCTCTGCTAATTCTTCCTCTAAGAGCATCCCACACATAATATGACCTCAGCACTTCCATAAGGGTTGGCTCGGGACTTACGTGGGTGTACCCAAACCAAACAGCATTTCATCTTTCATAGATTGGAACCCCATCTTAAACCATCTACCTGTAGAACTTAGGCTAAATTTTTTAAATATCTGTGTGGCGATTGCTTAGACTAGGTTAGAATAGAACACCTCCCCCCCCCCATTGTCTCATAACCGAGTTAGTGGGAGATCCGGCTCGTGCACCGGGTTTGTGGCCTCATCTCGTCTCAGTCCAAGGCATTGAGCCATCGGTCCAAGAGACACCACACCCCTCGGACCCATGAAACCATGGCCAATTGTCCTGGTCTCCTAGTTAGCACTCCTTGTTGGTTCTACTTAGGAACCATGGACCACCAAAGTCCAAAGAATAAAACCAAGAACTGACCACCAGTCCGGTCAGTCTAGTTGAGCCGAGTTACGAACCTTGAACAACCTTCAGCGACTGGCTGAAGTCTGGTGAACCCTGACGGCCAACCATTGTCCAACCATTCGAGTCCAGGTCTTCCCATTAAGAAGAAAACTCCTAGTAGGGAATCCAGTTCCAGCCATCGGCCTTTGCACCAATAAAACCTGGACTCATGTCAGAGGTCTAGGGCATCTCATCAAACCCACAACCACCATAGTAGTCATACAGGCCGCTTTCAAACCTCAATCAATGGGAGGCCTCTCTTGCAAGCTTATCTCCATGTCTTAGCGAATCAGGGCTACGCTATTTGAGCACCAGATGGTCAGTTAATTCAATGTAACAACTCGTCGGCCAACAACCAACATATCTGGTCCAGTAGCTCCACAAGCCCAACCTTTGGGGTAACCTATCCAGCTGGTCTATGAAGTGCAAACACAATTGCATCAACCAACCTTAGGCGACCAGTCAGCTACCCAAGTCACCGTTGTGTTGACAGCTCCGTTAGTCAAGATGGAGGAAAACATGAAAGCTTCAGGGCACCCTGAAAGATTGGGAATCTATGACTTCTCAACCCCTTGGAACTGCGTATAAGAAACCCTTGGGAAGTTAGAAGATCTCCCAGCTGGGTTTTTCATTCCAGATTTCAAATAAAAATCCTTTAGAAAAGGCGATCCGGAGACACATATCCAAGCCTATCTCCTCAATGTACCAGCTCTAAGCAATAGGACCCTATTGGCTTAAGTGATGTTCTAATACAACTTCTTGGAGAACCACTTTTATGGCATCGAGATTGATAGGGAATCATTCTTACATCACCCTGTCGAGACGTCCAGACGTTTTACCTAACTCTCGCTACATCAATCCTCGACCAGTCTAGCTTAGCCAATTAACTGCCATAGAGCAAGAGACTGGCAAGTGCTTCATTGACTGTGTCGCAAGATTTAAAGACATGGCTTCTTGGGTTATTGAGTGTCCATTCTCTAGTCCTGCATGGATTGGATTAGTTATCGAGAATGCTGCTCCTGAGTACAAGCACTTCTTCAACAAGGGGAGGATGCCCTATTCGTTTGACACCATGTTAGAGAGAGTCGAACTCTATGAACCGGTCAAACCGCACGCGGCTAGTGTCAACCGATCGGAAATCTAAAGCCAGTTGCCCCCCCATCCCGCCTCTCCAACCAAATCCAACAAAAAAAATAAACATAAAAATAAAAATAAAAATAAAAACAAAAAAAAACATAACAACAATGAGACCTCATCTATCAGCATGGTCAATCAAGGCAAAATCAATTAAAAAGCCCAACTCGAGACTAATCGTTCAAGGGCTTTGGGATGAAGACCGGGCTCATTCACTACATGGCGGATGCAAAGCAACACGCCCAGGGAATTCACACCTTTTGAAGAACTAATGGGCGATGTTCTCCAGCGGTTATAGAGCATAAAGTTCGTCAAATTGCCTACGGTCTAGATTCCTCCCCTTCCCATCGAGATAAATCTAGTTGGTCCTTGTGGCATCATAATTATGGCCAGGTCCATTGCTGCTACTAAGTCCCCTGTTTATGCACTTGGTCAGGTCCTCATGCTGCCACCATGTGCCTGGTCCGTTGCTGGCAAGGTCCGTTGCTGCCACCACGACCAATGCTGCCTCTTGCAACATCAAGAGGATGGCCTTTCACCATCTTGGCCGCCGGTTGACCAATACCTGCAGTACGCATGCCGATAGCCAAATCTCCTCTTCTTAGCACTACTAGGGCTAAGTTGATGGCCCTACAACACCAAGGAATGCCTTTCCCTCAAGCATAAGATTCAAGACCTACTCAATGAGGACTTCATAAGCATTGGAGAAAATACCGAGCCTGCTAACCAAGCTGCTGGCATCTCTATCGACCTGAACTTCGAAAGCATCAGCTTGGTCGAACAAAGTAGGAGGGCAATTCCAGCCATGACAACAACTGCCGAGGCTAATTTACTTAAGACTGCTGAATTGAAGAACCTCCCCAAGCCAGAAGAACATCCAATATGGCCTTGGGGCATGGGAAAGAACCAACACAAGAGTTCATCGAGAGAAGATCAAGCTGAGTATGAGCTCAATCAAGTCTCGGTGACTAGGGATCCTCAAAGCAGCAAGAGTGAGGACTGCCTTACCCCCATAACAACGATTCAAAAACAAGTCGAAGAACTAACCATCCCACAAGAAGCTCCCATGGTATAAAAAGGTATAAACCCACAAGAGGACCACACCATCTTTATGATGGAAAGCAGCCCAGGTGAAGAGAATCCAAGTCCGCTCAGTTCCCAAAAGCGTACTCAATATCTCCATCCCCCCAGGAAATGGAGTGGATCTTCTGAAAGTTCTAAGAGGGCCCCCTAGACCACTTTCACCAGATTTTCTTGATGACCCACCTTAGTGGGATATACACAATGACAAAGAGCCAAGCCTAGAAGAACTAACCGAATCACCCTTTAAGGCTAACTGAACAGATGATATTGAGGAGGTAGATGCTAGCACGCAAATAAAATTCAAATTACCAGTTAAAAAAAATTAATTCCTACTTCTCCAGTTTTACAATTTGCCGGTCCATGCCTTTGTGGATTGTTTACATGACTATAATGATTGCCCTATAATTCTCATTTAGTGTGGTCTTATAAAGCATGGTCATACAATCATTTGATATTTAAACAAGTTATTATCTACACTTCATTGTCATCAACTTGTTATAAGTTAAAAAGGGAAACCTCTTCACAAGGAATAGGGACAATCCAACGTGAGATCACATAGATGGAAGTTTAAAAGAGGGTGTCCACAATGTAAAAAACTGAGAAAGAGGTGTTCTCGAAAACTAGACAATATGAAAATATCTAATTGGTACCACCACCTGTAAAGCTAAATGAGAATAAAAGAAACCATTGAATTTCTCAAATAAACTTTTTTTTTTTTTTTCTAGAAATTTCGAGCATTATGGGGGACACAATCAATGACCTATTACTTCATGGGTTTCAATTTCTGTATATTTTTTAGCTGACCTATTAATTTCTTGTTGGTCCATGGAATATAGAGTTAGGAATTATATTCAGTAACTTTTCTTCCGAATATTGGCAGCTATATTTAAACGAACAGCCATACTATATTGCTCTTAAGCAGTTAACGAGATGTGATTGTTTATAGTTTTGCGATTGTTCTGTAGTTTTGCAAATGGTAGTGTTGTCTCTGATTATTGCCTCCATTTTCATCTTATTAATTTGACTTGCATATCTGTATGACGTAGAATATGGCTTTTGAGTCCTCTAGCACTTGTATTCTTATGGGCATCAGCATCCTGATGCGCTGTGCTTCTTGCTGAAACGATATGCTTTTTGAGAAGCTTATATGATGCTTTCCTCTTCTCATTTCTCTAAACAAATAAGAAGAAACTCGAAGTTACTGAAATTTTTCAATGATTTGTTGCAGTTCCTATTTCACTCATTGCGTCATTTAGGAAAATGAAGAAGCTTGTTCAAGACAAATCATTGGTGGTCGCTGCACTTGGAGCCTCATCTCAGCTGGTATCTTTTTTATTTCTCTCAAAATTTATAGAATCAGGCTTTTCATTGCTTGTTGCCCATTGGGAATAATACTCATGAACACTACCATTAACACTGCCATGAACAGTACAGTGCTGTGAACAGTAAAAAGTATCAAAACTAGAGAGAGAAAGGGAAAAGAAGAGAGAAAAGATGAAAGAGAAGAGGGGAGAGTGATATGAGATTCATTCACCCCATGCCCCATTAAAATCTTTATTTATAATGTTTGTTTAGGGTTTATAAATGACAAAAACACCCTCAATGAAAATAAGTATCCTAAATGATATCAAAATGACAGAAATGCCCCAATACACAAAATGAGTTATTCTTCATCACTCCCCCTTAAGCTGGAGCATAGATGTCACCAATGCCCAGCTTGGAACAAAGGGCTATACGGAATTGAACTATAGACCTTCTCAGTAAAACATATCAAACTGATTTTTCTGAGTTTGGTTACGATTAAGCGCAATGGTGAATATATTGACCAATTGATCTGATGACTTCACATATGGGGTTGTTATTTTCTTGTTTGTCACTCTATCGTGAATGAAGTGACAATCCACTTCAATATGTTTTGTTTTTTAATGAAAAACTAGATCGCTCGCAATATGAATGGCTACCTGATTGTTGTAAAACATCTTCATTGGTTCAACAATTGAAAAACCCACTTTCTGCATCGAGGTTTTCAACCACCCATGGCTCGATACTCGGTCTCTGCAGTAGATCTGGTCACCCCATGTTGTTTCTTGCTTTTCCAAGTCACTGAATTTCTTCCAACGAAGGTGCAGTACCCTATAGTAGATCTTCTATCCGAAAGTGATCCTTTCCAATCAGCCTCAGAATAACTCTCAATGTAAAAGTGGTCATTCTTCTTATAGATGAGTCATTGGCCTAGGGCTCCTTTTAGGTATCTCAAGAGTCTTCTAAATGCTTCCCAAAATGGTGTTATGGGAGAATCTGTAAACTGAGTTACTACATTCACAACAAAGACTATATCTGGTCTAGTGATTATTAGGTAGATAAGTCTAAATGCAAGTCTTCTATATCTACTAGGATCTTTTAGTAAGTCACCTTGATCCACTAAAAGTTTGGAACTTTGATTTATGGGTGTGTCAACCGGTTTAGCCCCTTACACCCCTGTTTCTGTTCATAAATCAGTTACATATTTCCTTTGGGATAGACTAATACCCTATTATGATCGAGCTGCTTAAATCTCAAGAAAATACCTCAGTTGCCCCAAATTTTTTTGTTTGAACATAATGTTGCAGATAATTCTTCAACTTCTAAATTCCTTCTTGATCACTGCTTGTAATAATAATATCATTAACATAAACAACCAAGATAATAGTTCCATCTGCTTGTTTTCGAATTAAGTACTGAATGATCCACTTGGCTTTGCTGAAACCCATATGGCATAACAAATTAGTTGAATTTATCAAACCATGCGCATGGTGACTACTTTAGGCCATAAATTGCTTTGTTTATCCTGCATACCTTGTCTGATTCCCCCCCTGAGAAGCAAACCCTGATGGTTGCTCTATATAGACTTTCTCTCGTAAATCCCCATAGAGGAAGGCATTTCTAGCATCAAGTTGTCATATAACCACCTTATATTTGTTGCCACAGATATAAGTACCCTAACTGAATTAAGTTTGGCTACAGGAGCAAATGTCTCAGAATAATCAATACCAAATGTCTGTGTGTATCCCTTTGCCACCAGTCTAGCCTTTAATCTCTCTACAGATCCATTTGACTGATACTTAATGGTATATGCCCAACGACATTCAACAAGTCTCTTTCCTGTTGGCAAATTAGTGGGCTCCCAAGTACCATTTGACTCAAGTGCAGCCATAGCTTTCTTCCATCCAACATGCAAAAGATCTTCCGGATAGAATTTAGGTTCTGAAATGGAAGAAAGTGCTAACGTAAAATTCTTATAACAGGGAGACATATTTTCAAATGTAACAAAATGAGCAATAGGACGTTTTGTACAAGATCACTGACCTTTATGAAGTGTTATTGGAAGATTAATACTTTCAACTTTAGGAGTGGGTCCAGGAATAGGATGAGGATTTGTAGACACAGATGTTGATTGGTCGACTGCTTGAGTTGGTGGTGATGGCCCTTCTTTTAATTTCATTCCCGTATACACTTTGAGAGGTTGCTCGTATGGAACACTAGTAATAGGGGGAGAGACATGCTCTACAGAAGGAGACACTTGAGATAATGAATTATTAATAGAGAAAGGAATAAGAATGGAAACAAGAGTAGGAAAATGTAATGGGTTGGAATGTCTTGAATTTATCTCTAACACTTTACCCTCATAAGAATAGGACGGAATATTTTCAAAAAAGGTAGCATCAACAGATACAAAGTTCTTTTTCAAATTAGGATGATAACATTGGTAGCCTTTTTGGGTATGAGAATATCATAAAAGTATGCACTGAATAGTTTGGGGATCCAATTTGTCTGTTCCAAGACCTAAGACCTGAACAAGGCAAACACACCTCAAAACTCTAGGGGGCATAATAAACAAAGGTCTATTGGAAAAAAGAAAAGAATGTTGTGATTTTCTATCTAATACAGAGGAAGGCATACAATTTATTAAATAACAAGCTGTCAAAACATCTTCCCAAAACATTTTGGGCATATGCATATTCAACAATAAAGCACAAGTTACCTCTATTAGATGACGGATTGTTCTCTCTGCTACCCCCTTACGCACTGATGTGTGATGTAGAATGCCATGTGTGGGTAAATAATTATGAAAGTCTCGAGAAAAATATTCTTTAGCATTTTTTGAATGCAAAACACAAATAGTTCGTCCAAACTGAGTTTGAATTTTTTTATGAAACAATCGAAAATAGACAAAAGCCATAGATCTGTCTTTCATTGAATATAACAATGGCATCTGAGAAAAATCATCAACAAAAATTAAAAAAATATATGTAACCACCGAAACTCTGAACTTTAAGAAGGACCCCAAATGTCTGAATGAATAACTGAAAAAGACACAGACACTCATTTATTAATTCTAGAAGGAAAATAGGTTCTATGATGCTTTCCTAACTCACAAGCCTTATACTCAAAAGGTGACACTGACTCTAATGAAGGGACTAACATCTGCGAATTATTGATAGATGGATGACCAAGTCTGTAATGCCATTGAAGAGGGGAAACACTGGAATATGGAGCAACAACCACAAAGCTATGATCAAGATAGTAGATCCACTGATTATCTTCTTTGTATTTAAATCGAAAAAAGCACAATATGAGAGACAGAAAGTCACTGAATATTGAAGTGATTTGGTTAATTTACTAACCGACAATAATCTGAATGGAAACTATGGAACATAAAGAGCAAAAGATAATGAGAGCGAAGAAGTTGTTGACCCAATGCCTTAAATAGATACACTAGTTAATATCAATCGGCTAGAGTGACAGTAGTAGTGCCATTTGGTTTACTGAGACGAGAACATAGACGATTCACCAATCATATGATTAAAGGCTCCTGAATCAGTGATCAAAAGAGAAGCCTTCTGAGATGCAAGGAATGCAGAAGTACCAGTATTAGCCAGAGTAGCAGTGGAAGAGGAGGGATGAGTAGATGGCTGTTGGCTATTCTTGATTAACTTATTGTATTCTTCTTGTGAGAGCAACACTGAGTCACTAGTAGAATGTATAGTCTACTTTTGATCCTTGGAGCTAACTTGGTGCACACCATCACCTTCAAAAACATAGGACACCTGGTTAGCCCAACTAGGCTTACCAAACTTATCCCAACATTTTTCAGTATTGTAATTTGTTCGCCCACAATGGGTGCACTTCCTACTGCCTCGGCCTTGACCTCTACCATAACCTCCTCCCGACTCAGGATCACGTCCTTCGTTTTCACCACCACAGCCTCCGCCATCATCTCTACCCATGGAGGAGGTTAAAGCAAACTCATCACCAGCGCTAGTCGCTGATAAAGAAGAAGATATAGTAACCCGTTGAAGGCGAGAGTATACATTATTGAGAGAGGGAAGTTCACTACTATTTAAGATCTGCCTTCAAACAACATAATACTCTGAATTAAGGCTAAATAGGAACTTTGTCTATATTCCTCTCTTTTCTTTTTAAGAAGTTCCATATCACTAGCTAGGGATTGATAAATACTCAAGTCTTCCTACATACCTCGAAGACAACTATAATAATCACTGAGACTTTTATCTCCTTGCTATAAAAGACATATATACTCTGATAAAGTTGATAAATCTGAGAAATATTTTTATCAGAGTACATTTCCTTTACAACTTCCCATACTTCCTTAGGAATATCATAGAACATATACTATTCCAAAGAACAAAAGAATCTCAAATAAGCAAGGTATGAAAGTATATGTCAGGTCACACACTAAAAGCACCTTAAAAACTTGCTGGAAATTTGTAAATTCAATGATCGACAAGGACAAAACAGCAGATAACATACAATAACTTCTTGATCAACTATATGAAGAACACTAATGTGTTTAAAAGCCGATGCACAAAGCTCTGTCCACTATAATACATGATGAAACCTCAAAACAAGTCATTCACAACTTCTGAAACACACCTTGCAACATTCACCCTTGTTCGTCTCAGCTTTTCACATCCAAGAGAGGAACCTTTAAATGGCACGAACATGCACCACATACGGAAACCACCATGTTGGCCTCACACAGAGAGGAATATTTCTTGACGAAATCAGCACTAATAGGATTGGGGTTTTCCCTCTCCCTTTTGCGTTTTTTTTTTGTTAAAAAAAGGTAGCTATTTCTTTAAAGACGAGTGAAAAAAACTATTAAGTAAATTAGTGCTCTGATACCGAACAGTGCTTGTGATCAGTGTCATGAACAGTGCCTTGAACAATACCATGAACAGTAAAAAGTGTCAAAACTAGAGAGAGAAAGGGAAAAGAGGAAAAGAAAGAAAGGAGAGAAAAGATGAAAGTGCTCTGATACCGAACAGTGCTTGTGATCAGTGTCATGAACAGTGCCTTGAACAATACCATGAACAGTAAAAAGTGTCAAAACTAGAGAGAGAAAGGGAAAAGAGGAAAAGAAAGAAAGGAGAGAAAAGATGAAAGAGAAGAGAGGTGAGTGACATGAGATTCAGTCACCACATACGCCACTAATATCATTATTTACAGTGTTCGTTCAGGGTTTACAAAGGATGAAAATACACTCAATGGAAATAAGTATCCTAAAGTATATAAAAATGACAGAAACGCCCCAATACACAAAACATGTTATTCTTTAATACCCACGAATGCAGGTTGTAAGTGCAAATGGGAAGAAAGTCAAACGATTGCATCCATTGCCTGCTACAGATGCAACTACTGCAAAGGTAGTTTTTTTTTACCCCTTAGGGATTTCATTTATTCTGTATTTTGCTTCTTTGACATTTAACTATTTCTTTCTAACATTTAATTTCTGAAATTGTAGTCACGTACTGTACTGGTGGAGAACCTACCAGAAGACCATTCAGCTCAAAACATTGAGAGAATTTTTGGAGATGTTGGAAAGTAAGTTGTTCAGTTGTATTGCCTACTTGCTCTTAAGCTTTACAGATTAAAAAGAATGTGTAATATTGTTTTTTTTGTAATGCCAGGGTGAATAGTGTTCGTATCACCGAGCCACAATCCAGTACACATGCATTCGCAAAGTCTAATAAACCAGAGATGATGATAAGTAGCAAGGTATTCATCTGGATATCATAATACTATACGTCAGAACAGTTGGAAATAATCAATAGTTGGTGGGTGAGCCTTGTGTTTTTTGTGAATTTATTATTGTCTTGTGAACCCTGAACAATCATTTATTTCTATAGTGTTTAGCAAGTTTTTTTTTCTCTATTTAATTTGAATAATAGATTTCCTGCACCCAATAACAATCTTAACTTAATTTGGTTTCCTAGTTCCCTGTCTAGTTGTTGATGGATGCCATGTTGGTTACTTGGGAGGTCCATAACCATTACTTCTTTATTCCTCCAAAGTTGTTGCAATTGTTGCATCACTTTGTCCTGGTCAACTTCAAATGCTTGATGCTATGTATTGAGATGTGAATAATTAAGTGTATTTGTTTATGTATTCATGATGCTTGTTATTTTTCTAGAAAAGGGACCATCCATAAATGTCCTTTATATGTTGATATATTTTTCCACATACACACACACACACAAGCCATCCACACATATATAAGGTATACGTATATGCTGACACATGCACATGCATATGTCCATGTAGACATGTATGCATATATGTATTGATCCGTAGGCAGATATTTAGAAGGTATATGCAAAGGGATTGTATACAAATGAAGAGTATAGCATGTAGCCTCGACTTTCATATGGATAATGGGTGGGGTGAGGTTTTTTTTCCTTTTGTACAGAAAATGGCATATTTGACCAGAACAACTGTTCATCTCTATCCTGCAGTTGGGTTTGGAGTTTGTAGAAAGAGATGTTTTAGACCATTTATACAGTACCTATACTAGATTTTTTCCAGAGTACTGAATGGGGACATGCACATTGCATTTCCCTTTTCTTTTCTTTTTTTCCTTTTTTTTTAAGAAATACTAAATGATCTAAAAATTCAGCAAAAGTTATTTGGTTTGAAATTGTATAATTTCCATTTGGATAAGATATTTAGAGAAATAAACTATCACAAAGAGTTCGAGAAACAGACTAATAATAAAGGAAGTGTTCATAAAAGAAGTAATGGCTTGACATTTCACTTTAAAGGAAGAGTTCCAATTAAAGTAGGAGACAAACACTAGGAGATTCTTTTCTCATTGAATATAGGAATCCCCATATACTATCAACTTAGGAAAGAAGATTCCAGAGAAGGTAAGGGAGAAATTATTAGTAGGAATTGTAGGAAAGCTTGTATTGTGTGTGGATATGATTTTCTTTTGTTTTGTAATCTTTATCAATGTGTATATACATAAAATGGGCTAGTTTTACAGTTAACACCCATTTTTAGTGACCAAAACCACCTTGACAACACATTGGTAATCTGACCTGTTGTGTACACCCGCCATCCAGCTCACGGTTTTTAACCTTTTTTTTCTTAAAATCTTACTGAAAGAGTTCTTACGCTTATGTCTCTTGCATTATTCTGTATATCTTATCTCTTTCTCTTCCGGAACAGTATTGTAATTGGAAAGGGGTGCTCTCTCTCTCTCTCTCTGTCTGTCTGTCTCTCTCTCTCTCTCTCTCTCTCTCTCTCTCTCTCTCTCTCTCTCTCTCTCTCTCTCTCTC